ACGCGGGGAGGAGCGGCCCTCGGCTGCCCCCCCGCCGGCGCGGACCGGCCTCTGGAAGTTTGGAGAGATGGGCGCGGCGGCCCAGACGGCTGGGAGTCCCGGAGCCCGAGTCTGCCCAGAGCCCCTGGCCAGGGACCCAGGGAAGCGCTGGGGCGGTCGGTCCCTAGGCGGTGGCGAGCCTTCATCCGCTCAGCCAAAGGACCCCAGGAAACGTTACCTGACACCCGGGGTAGCAACGAGCATGGCCCCCAACCTGCGTTGGGAATTACACAATTATTCAATGACCTGGGAAGGCCGCGCTCACAGAGGCGTGCGCCGCTGCCTAATGCGCTCCAGGTGTGGGCGCGGCGGCACCTCCCGCCTGGTGCGCGCAGCTGGGGGCGAGAGGCCAGCCCCTGGCACTCCGCAAGAGGGTACCTTGGCCAGGCAGATCCTCCACAGTGAGGCGGCGGCCAGAGATGCTGTTCCCCCGCGCCCGGCTGTGCCCACCCTTACGCGTGGACGTCAGGTCCGGGTTGGGCCAGGAGTGGGCTCGGATTTGGGGGCAGCCCGAGAGGTGCCCACAGGGAGCACTGGTGGACCCCGGCCAGCCCGCAGTTGCTATCCCGTCTTCCAGGGCCACCGGAAGCAAGGGCACCCTTATACTGGTCAGTAAGGGGGCCTGCAGATGAAGGGGCCTCTGCCGAGGGGTGCAGCGGGAGTTGAGAGTTTGAAGTTGTTACATCAGGTTTTGGGGGGCTTGAGGGAAGGGCAGAGGGAGGGCTACCGCCAGGCCAGAATACATCCAGACCCCAGCTGTGGGTAGCTGAAGGCCACTCCAGGGGCCCTTGGCCGGGGAACACTAGGCACTGCCCTGGAGACAGTAGGCCACCCAGCCCTGGAAAGAGGTGCTCATCCTTGTGATCCGGACAGCTGGCCCCACCAGAAGGGAGGTGGAGCCAGCCTTAGGGACTTGGGCCGTCAGGACCTCAGGAAGCTGCCGCTTTGGCATCAGACCTGGCTTCCAGTCTGGCTCTGCACCCCAGCACCTGCCTGGGGTGGGAGTGGGGTGCAGCCTCGCCACAGGTTCCTGCTGTGCGGAGGGGAGAGAAATTCGGAATTTGGAGCGCCGGGATGAGTAAGAGCAGTGCTGTTGGAAGGGGCCGCAGCACAGGGCTCCGGGGCACAGTAAGCTTACGGGGTGGTGGTTACTGCTGTTCTTCAAGGAGAGAGGGCGAAGGACAGGGACCTTCAAGGGTGTCTGCGGACGGGAGCGGTGACTCAGTGCTCCCTTTCTACGGAGAAAACCGCTGCTGGGTCGCATCTGGTCAGTCCGGGTTCCGAAATATGGGATTCATTAAACGTATCAGTCAGCGCTGAAACAACATCTGCTTGCAGGAGCTGGGAGTGGGGCGCGAGCCTGTTTACCAACTGGGCCTGCCTGTGGCTGAGAGCCAAGCACGGCCAGGGACAGCCTGGAGAGGCACGGGGCAGTGAGTGGCACAGAGAAACCACGGGCTGGGGGTTCGAGTAAGTTCCGTTTCAGCTGGGGAAGCAAGGGAGGCTTCCTGGAGGAGGAGAGATCATTTGAGCTGAGTCCTGAAGGAGTCTATAGAGTGTGGCTGGAACTTATAGGGGGACTGTTGATACTTTGCAGTACTGCTTCCTAGGACTAGTGAAAGAACAGAACGGTGACTGTTTAAAAACGCAAGGTGCCTCTGGTCAGCCTGGACCCTGAAGTCCAGGAAGTCGTTGGGGCTATTCCCTGGGCCAGGCAGGACTGACGCTGGTCTCTCATCCATGTGTCCTGGGGTCTCCGGGCGAGGATGGCAGGAAGCTGGCCCACTGGTGTGCGGTCTGGCTGGACTGGGGCCCTGTCAGAGGGCAGTTGGGACGGAGGCCGCTGTGAGCGCAGGGCCTCCGCCTTCCCCGAGTTCCTGCTG